GGAACTTGCGTTTACTTCTTCCAGCAAGGTAAGGCTCAATACTTAAGTTATTGTTCGATCGTCTTGATATAGATGAAGTACGAAAACTTTTCACGGAGGCCAGCCTCGTGGAGGTGGAAAACCACATGGATAGGCGACTTTTGGTGAACCGTCGTCGAAAACTTAAAATGTATCGCGTTTGGTTGCAATGCAAGTACCAGATGCCGAAGGAGTAGGCCAAATGCTGTAAATAAAAGTATGTATTGCATTCTTCTTTTTCTTGGAGGAAATCAGTGGAAGGTTAATCGACGTGGCTGTGGGAGGGTGCAGCTTTATCTGCAAATGGAATGCCTCGGAAGGGGGGGGGGTCACGTCAAATGGTTGCGTCCTCTCTGGCTTGTCTTGAACCCGAGCGCCGCGGTTGGTTCACGGGTGATAGCCTAAAATGCAAAAATGGGTGCTACTCGTTTTCCTTTTCATCTACTGCAAATATCAACGTAAGAGGTTTTATTCTTACGCAAATTGCACAAGGACGAACGCTTACTTCATTTAAAAAATGGCTGCGGTTGTAATGTTGGCGCAAGGGTGTCCTCTGTCCAATGCTACAAGTGGGAACAACTAACCGACGGAGGCGGGGGGGAGGAGGGCATCCTGATACCTCACCAAAACGTCAATTACTATTGGTATAATGACGTAAAAGGTCTTTCGCCTCGTACATAAAGCAAACATTCCCATCTGAAGGCTTTTCGGTGAACTTACCATAGTTGCGCAACATGGTGAAAACCAAAATTGAAGTGTAAAATGTTGCGCGAGGCGAGATCGAACCCAAATCCTTGCTGACACAATACAACGATTCAACTCACTATGGTATCGACGCGCGGCTCAAAGGGTACTCTAAAAGCTTTACTAATTGGCTACGGATTCTGGCCTAAGATGTACGCTTGGGTTCCAAACCGTTGGTTCTCCATCTACTAGTACTCCAACCAAGGTGTTGGAGAAGAGGACTACAATGACGTTAAATATAAACTCAGCGATTGGATCAACCGTCTTATGAGGAATGTACCTCCCTCTGAAATTACTTAAGGCACTACCACGGTTGCCGCACCAATTACACAGACAGCTGCCAATTGAAAGTACGGAAAACGATGCTACTTTCTCGGAATATCGTTGACTTCGACGATGGATACTTGTTAGGACAGGTTTTTTAAGGGGAATGTGCACAAACGCATTGGGAACACCGCAACTAAGCAATGCATTGATACAACAGAACACTTAAAAAGAGGTCTTTTACACAGTTGCAGACGAAAAGCGAGCTGACGTCGATTGGTTTGGAATTGTAAACATAACGGCTACTCATTTGTTCTAAGTAATATAATCGAATGCGTAAGTATTACGCTTGAGCCTCAACTTATTGGTGATGGCAACTGACATGGGCAGACGGTGAAAAAACGCCTTAAGCATTGTTCTGAAATTCTAAAAGTTTAAACGTTAGCTGAGGCTTTCTAAGGAGAAAAAAATGCCACTCATGGAAGGAAAGTATAGGCAAGGTAGGACCGGCCTGTTGCTGAGAATGTTTGAGGCAAGACAGGGGGCGCCCATCGCGGTAGTTATCAGTATCCTAAGGGTTACACGAAGAGGAGACCGCACAGGTCACGGGAATATCACTGGAGATGCGCCCATGATACGCCCTCGCTGATTGTCGATAGATAAACGGGTGCTAAATAAGCAGATACAGTTTCCGAATAGCGTACTTATCCGTTTGCCTCTCGTCAACCTTAGATGAAGGGCTTTTCAAATTGAGTCGCCATTCGTGTTCCTTCCTCCATTTGCATGTAACTTTTCTTTTATATATACGTCGATTGGCCCACTTCGCCCATTATAAACCAATTTTTACCCTTCTTTGTTTGTTTGAACTACAATGAGGTCATGAGTGCACGAGGTCACGACGCTAGCGCCATTTAGAAAGCTGTCCAGTTTGACCTATACTTGACGTCTGTTCCAAGAACATTTATCTACGATGTCAAAAATTGTAGTGATTGGCGACTGTGAATTACTTTTGATCCCCCGGTGTTTTGAGTTTGTGCGCTTAATTTTATGCATTTTGAATGGAAAACGTTTTTTACTGAAAATCATGGGATGATATTTTTAAAATAAAACGTATCTCTCTCTTAGACCTGCACCTACCTCGCCTTCTAGTTCCCAATGTAAGCTGACTAATGGGCGGGACTATTGACCGAAGACGGGGTGAGTGATAATGATTAAATAAAAACATGGTTCGGTTTCAGTAATGGCCCCACGTACTTGCTGGTTCGTAGCCTGTCAATACAGAGTAATCGGGTGTCCAGGAGGTGCATTAAGTTCCACAGCGTGGCTCGTTGGTGCGGCGTAGAGAGCCCGAAGAATGCCCGCAACAGAGCAATATTCCGGTTCAGCAGGAAAACACCATAACGATAGGCCGGCAGGGAAACATTTCGCTGGATGTAGAGTGGAAACCTGCAAAAAGGAAAGAAAGCAATTCAAACTAATGAGAACACATTGAGATAGAAGGTAGTTTAAAAATCTAGTCAATGAATGCGTTGGATAGACACGTCCATTTATCCTAGTTCGACTTCGC